TGTGTCAGTATATCTGTTTGTGTATGTGTCAGTATCTGTGTGTGTGCCAATGTTTATGTCTGTGCATGTATCTGTATGTAGCCAATGTGTGTATCTGTATGTTGTAATATGTATGTATCTGTGTGTGTGCCAGTGTGTATACCTGTGCATGTATCTGTAAGTATCAAATGTGTGTATCTGCATGTGTGTCAGTGTGTGCATCTGTGTGTCAGGATGTGTGTCTGTATGTGTGTGTAAATGTGTCTGTATAGCTGCATCTGTATGAATGTGTATATCTGTGTATCTGCCAGTGTTTCTGTGTGTGTGTGTGTGTGTGTGTGTGTTTGTGTGTGTGTGTTTGTGGCAGTGCATGTGTATATGTACATACATCTTAGCATTCAAACGCCAACACTACACGCAAATACACACCTGCAGTCAAACTTCAACACTACATATAAACACATCTCTTTTTTTTAAACAACACAATTATATATAAACACGCCAGTGCATTCATAAACCAACACTACACATAAATGCATGCTTGCATTCAAATGCCATCTCCACAAACACAACCCGACATTCACACAAACATACTCCATACAAAAACATGCTTACACTCAAACACACAAATCCCGCTCAGTGTTAAATACAACCATTCATGGGAAAATGGTAGAGCCCCAGCTGTCAAAGCATTGTTGGAGTTGCACGACAGATGGGGATCTACCTTTTTCCCCCTCTTGCCCAAAATAATTAATGCACCAGAGCCCTCTCTACTTTATGTCCGCCTTTGTGTTGGGGTGGGGAGCTTGATTGCATGCCAGGGAGGGGACAACAGGGTTCAGGGGGCCCAAGCAAATGTTTTCCCAGGGTCCAATCAATATTAAAGACGGCCCTGCCTGGGGGTGACCTAATATTCCCCACCAGTGTCCATCTATGGTGGTGTGTGGGTACTATTAATAAAATTATCCATTGGGGCACAATGTCACCCCCCCGCAAAGCCACCACCCATTGGTGGCAAGTGGGGGCTATAATTAAATAGCGAAGAGAGGTTGTACATGCCATTGTCCACCCTAGAATATTTTGTCAAGTCTAGGGTTTTCCCAAGCCCCTACCCCCGCCAATTAAAAAAAGACCCTGCCAAGATGCATAAATGTTGATGGATTACACAGCAGTTTACCTCAAACCATTTAAAATGCTTAAGAAGTAAAACCTGGTATAGGCTTTTTGAAGTTTCCATAATCCCAAAAGCGAATGGCTGCTCAATACTGAAACAGACTAAAGTCTTTCATGAGTTGTGCATTCTTTTTCCCTCCCAAAAAAACATGGGGTAATTATTTTAAATTAAATTAATGTGTTTCTGGTTGCAAATGTGATGCAGATTGGTTTAATATTGGGTCAGTGTGACAGACCCATCTGTATGGACTAAAAGTACTGTGTTCGTCTGTTTTGCCGTTTTGCGTGAATTCCCCCATTCGTATGCTTTGTTTAAGTGAACGTCGGTTTTTGTCGAACGAAACTACCGAACGGACGGCCACCCAGAAGAGAAGTGTGCTGCTGGTTAACCTATTGATCCCAATTAGAACGTTGCGGTTAACCACAGACACTTCTCAATTAAAACTGAGTACCGGGTGGTCGTCGTTCGTATGTTGACCACGAGGCGACGGCCATTTTAACCATGCGAAAGACCAGCGGTGTTCGACGGTTATTTCATGGAACTGAAAGCGGACACTTTTTCAACCGAACACCGCTGAAGCCGTCGACCTCCCCTTCTCAATCGACAAAAGCATACAAATGCCGGCCGTTCGGGAGATTCAACAACACGAATGGACTTAACCCAGATAGCCTTCCCATGGAGTCAATCGCATACCGAAGAACTGTAATAGACTTTGACTCCATGGCGATTGAACTATGCGAATGGGATCTGAGCTCTATTCGCCAATAATATGCACTCAGATCCAGGCTATCTGGAGATGTGTTACACGAATGCAATATGTTCGGCAGTTATAAAGTTATGTATTTTTATGTGTTTTATGACTTGTACTTAAAATGGCGATTTTCCTCTGCTCAGGGAGATAATTGAATTACTTCCCAATTATCTCCCGAGCAGAGGGGAGGGAACTCTGATGCATGCTGGGAATATTGTGGGGATGTATGTCCAAAATGTCCCCATGTCCTTCTGTCATTTCAGTCTCCCATTTGGTCCCCTAGGGGAGTGTCCACCAAGTGGGAGACCTGCATAAATACCGGGCAGGTAGCCCACAGTAAATCAGTTCGTGTTTTACCCTCAAAGCAGAGCTTGGTCTCGTTATTGGGGGGATTTTATTACCGGCGCCTAGAGACTGCTTATTGGAATTATTTGCCGCTTGGAAGATATTGGCGTTCGGTTAATCTTGGCAGTTCGTGGATTTGGAGCTTGTGAAGGGAAAGAGCCGTTCGGGAGTTTGGAGTGTTCCGTAGCTGGCGATTCGCATGGTTTTACTATACACGCTACCAGACCACATTATTGCGAACGGGGAGCATTCACTAAACAGCGGTTTGGGCATTTTATTACTGGAGGTACCGTAACAGTCAGGAAGAGAGTTTTTGCTTCTGAAATACTACTAATGGTATGTCCAACCACTGCAAAGTTTGTTATACGTCTAAGGTCCATTTACAACATGCTCAAATTAGATCATGAGACGCACACCCATTGTTAAATCTTATCAATGATGGCATAACAACATGCAAAAAACTGGAAAAGTTGTTAAAAGCTTTTTATTAAATATTCTTTAATACAAGAGTAGCTGTTCCACACGCCGCAAGCTCTAATAGTTCACCAGCATAAACGTTGAAATTTGCCAGGAAAGTGCCCTGAAAAATAAAAAAACAATATTAGAAAAATTATAATAGAGAAACTTGGATATTTGTAAAACAGAGATAAAACTTACATTTGCTTAAATATTTTGCTTAAAGGATAGGTTCACTGGAATGGGGCCAATAAGCCAATTTTTTCATTGCTTAATTGGAAACTAAGCCATTCTAAACATTCTAAAATTATTTAAAGGAATATTCCTATCCCCATAATAACTTAGGCTCATTTAAGTTGTTATGGGGGCAAGAGTGTCCAGACACCATCTTACCTTCAGGGGTTAGAGCATTTGGCATTGGTAATGGTTTAACCCCAAAGTTGGGGCTTCCTCTCCCAGAACCTCTGCCTCTTGGTTTCCTTCCTCTCTGCCTATCATTGGGTGCCCATAGAAAGCCATAGTGTGTTAAATTAATTTAAGTTGTCATGGGGCAGTGTTCCTTTAAACTCCACAATAGTTGCACAGCTGAAGACCAAGGAAAACCAGAATGTAGTATGTAGTAAGCCATGCCTTTATGTATTATATCATAATACCGCATTATGTTCTTGCTTCTGCTGTATAACAGTGACTAATTGAATCTATATCTAAAAACCCAATGAAATTAAAATGGAAAAAAATAGATGCTCAGCAAGAAATCGAGACAGGACAGGTCAGGAGGATTATAGAGTTCAAATTAAGAATAGAAGAGCACACTTATAAAACACAGTATAAAATACATGAATCTATTACTACATTTGTAATTCTATTGGTATTATACATACCAATAGAAATACAAATACCAACACACATTAAAATGTGTGCATAGAATATAAGGTACAAAATGCATGTGACGAACCGCCTGTACCCAGAGTGGTACGTTCATCTGAAGGTTCCCAAATTCCCACAAGGTTCATGGCAATATCGCATACCCAAGCATCAGATGAGACTTCATGAAGGGTGCAAAAGGAATGTTTTATTATGGCCAAGTTGCCAGCTTATATACACAGACCCTCAGCATGGGGTCTCCAGCAAAAACATAGATAGGTCTCTGGGTTTAGGAGATAAGTGAGTTTGCTTTTCCTTTAACTAATTATCTCCCAGGCTCTCGAGGTACAATACATACACATAAAACACCCCAAAATGCACATAATATTGATAGGAACCACCACACATATTATATCCCTGGATAGCCCGGATCTAAGCGCCCAAGTTGTCCAAATAGCGCTCAGATCCATGTAGTGTAGCAGAATCACCACCAGGGTTTTGACCGACCACACATGTAGCTGCTGCCCAAAATGGTTTCAGAGGAAAAGAAGTAGCAGCCGGTGAACTTTTGGGAGTTCCTATACGAATATAAACGAAGGCTCCCCTTGGCTCGTAGGGAGCAAATGTTCACCTCGTTCGGAGTGTCTTTTCCCCGAAAAGCACTCTCCTGTCTTGTCTGGAAACAGAGCAGGCCACGGTATGATTTTCCCAGGGATTGCAAGGCACAGCATCCGAAATAGAGTTCCACGCACTTGTCGACCAAGTACCGCTGCCTGCGTTACAAGAGCACGTGTGTTCGGTCACGTAATGGCGGCCATTCAGAGAGAACACTTAAGTTTGTGGTTTCTTTGAAGTTAATGAGCCAGGGGAGTGGTGGTGTTTGGTAGTTTGGAAGTACCGAACCAAGGGGAAACATATTGGGTTCGGTAAAACTAAAAAAGTTCAATAGGGAAGTTCTTCACAATGTATCTATAACTTAAATTAAAAGATACACAAATGCCAACTATGGATTGCAACACACCCACATATTGAATGATAAGCACAACAAAACAGTGATAGTAAAATATATATATATATATAATACATATTGTGCTCAGGAAAATAAAGCCGTATGTGTATTGATACTTTATCACACTTGTAGAGGTATGTAAAATTCGGTTGAGGTGTGCCGAAACCGACGTATCGGTAGACCTGTAAATAAAGTGGGCCACCAAGGAAGGTAATTAAAGTAAAATAATAAATTTAACCCTTTAAGGACCAAACTTCTGGAATAAAAGGCAATCATGACAGGTCACACATGTCATGTATCCTTAAGGGGTTAAAAGGTGGCGTGATGGGAGGGACTCAAAATGGAACGATGCCTAAGAGGAGTCTAGTGCCGATAGGGAGTATTTATATCAGCACTAGCCCCTCCCACAACTCCAGACTACTTCTTTACATTTGTGCTTAGGACAATAAAGCCATATGTGTATTGATACCTTATCATACTTGTAGAGGTATCTAAAATTTGGTTGAGGTGTGCCGAAACCGACATATCGGTAGACTTGTAAATAAAGTGAGCAAAAGATGTATGCCAAAATAATTTATTTAATCAACAATACCTTATTACAACATAATATCACAATACTAAATGTTGGAATGCCTGTCTAATTTCCTTCTCGGGTTGTGAAATGTATCTCGATTTCCAGCGCCCTAATGATTTAATAATATGGGTAAGGATGTACCTGTAGGAGGCTGCTGAGGCCTCTCCAATCCTGAAGGAATGTCCGGAGTAGTGTGAGGGGTTGAGGCCTAGTCTAATTCTAACGTAAAGCATGAATTTGCTTGTAGTGAGGATGGTGCCTTGTAAGGTAAGTAAAGGGTGATTTGCTGGTGCCTGCAAGTTATTTAGATAGACATCTAGTGTCTTTACTGGACACCTTTTTTTAAATGTGGGGTAGTAGGGTATTATTTAAACAATTGGAGGTCATTTAGTTACTCCAATGGCCATTGCGATGCGGCTAGCTATGCGTTGGACCAAGGGCCGAATACCTCGGAGTATGAGAATGGGTGTTGGTCTCACGGGACCACTAGTATAAGGTGTAGAAGGCCTTTAGAAAGCTAAATATGAAATCTTTTTCCCTGACAGCCAGTAATTCCTTTCCTAAGGGACTGATAAAACGGGGAGGTTTGAATATAAGCCACAGGGGAACGTACCTGTAAGACTTGAAATTTGAATTTGTAAGCCAATTAATTGGAGGTTCAATGGTTAGTGGTGCACCTAAAGTACGTGGAAGGGAGAATTATGTCTGAGAAAATGAACCTTAAATACCACAGTATCTCAAAGGAGTAATAGGCCTAACCGGTTTCGTACAGAATCAATATGAAATTCGGATTTTCAGGACAAGGCCTATGAATTGTAGTATCGGATATTTCGGGAAATGTCAGTGGGCCAATGATAGTCTATAAATACTGTTACAAGACATTCTATAAGACATTGTATTAACGTTTGAGAAGTGACAACATACAATATGACTTAGGCTCCTACCCTTAAGGTGATTCCAAGTCTTTGTCAATATCAGTACAAGCATATTGATATGTAAGCCAGACAAATCATGTGCTTTCCCCTAGGCCTAGGAACTAGTTTGGCTCAAAATATCCCCCCAACCTAATTGTGTGAATACCGTGATGTTCCCGAATTATCACCATAAATCTACCAGTGTAGCCACTGTGATGCTTATACTTATACTTTAACAATATATAAGTAGATGTGGCCCCCAAGTATTGCTAGAGGACTGTGTATCTGTAAATAATATACTTATCTTGGCGTGAATCCAGTAACCGTGAAGTATGTATGCTTGGAAGAAAGGGAAAAGGGAGTATGTAGCCATCACCAACCTAGCGAGACAGAATATATATCAAACTCCTCATATACATCAGCGGCTGTTAAGGTGTTGTAAAGTGAGCCGTGCCGGCTTGCGATAAGAAACGTATTGTTATTTATCCACGTACCCCTTCAATAAGCAGAAAATACACTTGGACTTCTGATTGGCTAAAGTTCATGAGCTTCAACCTATAGAGCCTAAAGCAACAGAAAAGGTAATACAGGGTTAACAGGGATATGAGTGAAGTTGTAGGAGCTATAGTGTTGAAAACATGCTTCTACATCCATCATTCTGACTAAAGAATCCCTCAGTCAGAACCTTCCCCTAACAAACACACTAACGCAATATTTAATACCAAACTTTGTACCAAGCCACAAGATGGCAATCCGTTCCAGTAACTGTTAATCTGGTATATGACAAAACCCAGCCTTGCTGGGGAAAATAGTGGTGTCCAGCTAGAGTTGTCGAACGGAACGTGCATAGGGAGATGTCCCTGAATGTAACGTCGGTGAAGGGGTTGAAATTAACAAAAGGTTTGTATGGTAACCGAAACTCAGGTATGCGGCAAGCATCAAAGGGGATTCCTTCCCCGCCATGACCCTGCGTTCGTGGGGGTCTGAAAAGAGTGTGACTCTTTTCGGGAATACCAGGGGAGTGTCCTTGAAACAGTACCGTCGTGGTGCTGTTCCACTCACTGTACTGCCGAAAGATAGCTTTGTCGGGTAGATAGGCATTCTACCACAGCAGGACCTCCTCACTCACTGTTTACCTGTAAGTGACGTCACACGCTCAGAACGGAACTATGCCTAGGAGGAGTCTAGTGCTGATGGGGAATATTTATATCAGCACTAGCCCTTCCCATAACTCCAGGCTCCGCCTTTACATATATACAAAAAACAGCAGTTGCGTATCTTTTAAATTTAATATATAGATAATTGTTGTACCTTATATTCTGTTTACTTTTTATGTGTGTTTGTATTTCTTTTTGCATACGTAAT